TGACAGATGAGCAGCAGTGAGGCTCTGTCTGTCACCAGCCTGGACGTTCATGCCCTCGGGGGAATCTATTGCATGATTATCATGGACTTATGGTTGCAGCAGGGTTGCTGGCCAAGCCATCAAGTGGTCAAAAGGGGAAAAAGCTGATGACAAATGTGAGCGGATGTTTTTCATCAGAAAAAAGCATATCATAGGGGATTTGGGTTCCAGTTGAATTCTAATGTAGCTTTAAAACATGTGAGTAAGCAAACAAGAGTTTGAATATAATTGCATCAAAAAGTGACGTGACTTTGACTTTAAAAACAAATAACTAATGCAAAACCTGCAAAAACAGCTGGAAATAACTACTTTAGAGTCCAGCAAACTACAGGAAATGCAGTACCATAGAAACCACATAGATAAAACTTTTTAACATGCATCATGCCTCAATCATACAGCCAAATCATATAGTGCAGATAAATGTACTGCACTATAAGAATTGCACAGTATATTATATTGATAGTGTCGTACAAACCAGGACACGTTAGACCAATCAAAATGGATATTTTAAGCTTAAATATCAGGCTCCTGAAATCATTGTGTCTTTGTCTTTTTTAACCAGGAAAGCATTGATTCAGATTAAATCAGGGTTTTCTGGGAAAGTAGAAAGCAGTACAAATTGAGTCAGGACAAATTACAGCAATGAAAGACAACATTGTTATCTAATTCAATTGGGGAAACATTTATAGCCTGAATTGTCCGTTTCCAAGTCATTAAGAAGTCCTTAATATCATTTTGGGTGACCATGCAACTAATCCCAGTGATGCAGTTACATGAATGCTTACTTAACACTGGACAGACATTTTGCACTGAAAACAAGAGGACTTCTGGAGACCGAAGATAGTAACACCTAAATGTTTTGATGGGTATAGATCTGATAATACTAAGAACCTCATTCAGTTGTTTCAATCATAAACTTCCTAAATTATTTTCACCCTTTTTTGAGAGACATATGCTGCACAGTCCAACTGAAACATAAATCAGTCATTAGAGAATAAGCAAAAAAGTGGCACACTGTTAAATTACAATCTTATTCTCAGCATTGCCAGCATACCTGCATGTCTTCTTATTTTGTAATATTAGTTTGCTTGACCTTCCAAAAGTTCTGCCAACCTAAGCTAGTGTCCCTGATCCACATCCCTTCTCAACACCACCCTTTTTTCAGACACAGTACTCTAGTCTGAATTAGCCATTTCCAGTCAAGTTATTTTTTGAACTGGATGTAGACTTGGTCTAAAAAATAAAATCTTTTCAGTGCATCTAATCAATTTAATTAATCATCATTGTTTTTTGTTGACCTCTGCTCGTGTTTTGACTTATAATCACGTGTGTTTTAGAATAGAACCTGTGTGCCATAAACACACAGGTCCCAAAATAAAACTAAGTATAAAAACTGAGTGGAGCAAATGTTCGCTTTGCAATACACCATAAAAGTTCAAATGAAAAAAATATGTCAAAAGACAAACTGTATTCAGGTTATGATGATATCCAGTCAAACCTTTCCTGGTTCTGTAATACGGCTTTGTGATGAACCGAATGTTTACACATCCCTCAGAAAATCCAATACCAACATCATAAGAAGCATCTCTGCTTGTTCTACATTATGACTGTAATGTGAGCAACAGGAATATTTCCAGTTTTTCTCATAAATATCTTTATTGCTTGACATATTTGTTTAGCATGAATAATTAATGTGCACCAAAATGAAACAAATGCAAACAACGTCAGAGAAATAACTCGTGATGGCGGAACTGATAAACTATAAGGATTTTATTTGACATGCTGAATGGTTGTGATTCATCATTTCCTTTGCTTCCTCAAGCTTTAGAGAAAGATCAAGGCACTGTTATTATGCAGATAAACTCTTCATCATTTCAGTCACTCCTTTCCTCACCACCATCACCCCACCCCCCCCCCCTCCCCCCGTATCACTGCAGTGCTTTCACTGAGCACTCTCAGCGCTGCACCTTTTGTCATTCACTCCCTTGGTCCTGTGGGGAAATTCTTTCAAGCCACATCACTTAACATTATGTGAAGATAGTAAATCAGAAGGGACAGTTGACAATTCTCACCACAAATTTCACTGCAATGAAATGATTTACAGGAATTTAGAGTTACTGCAGCATTTTTTTTCCAGTAATCTGTGCAAGTCTGCTCAGAAACTAGCATGCTGTTTTTATTGATGTTTGGTAACTAAAGGATGCATTTGATCAGTTTCTATTTAAATAATTTTCCCACTAATATTTTATTAAATATCCCTTTAGCAAGTTGCACATACTCCATACATAACAATATAATCTTTAACAAGCTTCTGATATAATTCTATTATCGTTTGCTATTAGAGCACTGCTGTTGTCAGAATTGGAGGAGCTCATTGGAAAAAAGTTAACTAGGGGTGTGACGGTACACATACTGTGTGGAGAATATTAACAGTTCAGCCCTGTCACTGTAGCGATGAATACCTGAGCACATGCAGAACGTTCTTTAATAAAGTTAATTTAAAAAGGTGTCACCAGAACAAAACAGAAAAATACCAGTCATCACTAAACTCTACTGTTTAGAGTTTAGTGAAAAGGGTGGTAATTTGTATTTTTACAGAGTGTCCTTTAGTTGCACAACCAAGTGATTATGCTACTTTCAGAAGAAAAAAAATACAAAAAACAGATGATCTAGTTAAGATACACAAATGGCTTAAAAAGGAGATTTAGCCCAAAACACACACACACACACACACACACACATATATATATATATATATATATATATATATATATATATATATATATATATATATATATATATATATATATATTTATTATTTATTTATGTGTGAACTGAGCATTGTTTCTTCAATTCAACACTGAGTCAGTGTTATTACATGCAGAGCTCATACATTAAATTATGTCTTGTCATAAAAGTTATGAAGCTAAAGTAGAAAATTATTTCATTTCCTATCAAAGTATCTAATACTGATCTCCTTCAAGCACAATTGGAATAATTTTCTCATTTTCTAATTTTGGACTTTATTTATCTGATATCTTTCATCAACCTTATCCGCGCAAGGATTCTCCAGGCAAAACAGCCTAATTTTCTATAATCCAAAATCTTATGTATTAACGTTCTATTACAGTTGAGCTAAAACCTGTTTTCACGTTGATCTCTCTGATCATTTAAGAAGCTGTGTCCATCTATCACCAATAGCTTACAGCGAACTTTTGTGTGTTAATACTTCTCTATTGGAACGTTTTTCAGAAGACAAACACCTCAAACTCTTCCAAAATGCCAAAACCTAGATTATACACATACGCCATTATTATCTGTTGCTCTGTCAAAAAAACAGAAGCAGTGTATATGTATCTACCTGCATAGAAGATATGACTGGGAAGGTTTAGTTGTGTGAATTCAAAAGCTTGCAGTTGGAAGATTTGACCAGGTTTGCTGTTGATCGGAAACTTAATCCTGATGGACAGGAAAGCAAGGTAGCAGCTCAGGGAAGGTAAAGTAAGCAGCAGGGTGCTGTGTTGGCAGGGAATGGCCAGGCTGCCTGAAACAGAAAACCACACTGCCAGGGCCAGTCTGATGGCGAGTTGGAGGAAGAAGTTGGGAGTGTGGTGCAGAACATGACGAGCGGGGAGATTTGGCTCGTAAGGTGTTGCTGCATAAGCCTTGCTACAGCAGGTAGTTAACAAAACATTCTTGCATTTCTAACTACATGGTTGAAAAAAAATCCACTGCAAGGTGAAGAGACTTGAGTTGATGTAGAATGTTTGGAATAGTTGACAGGTCCCAGAGATTCAACCGGAAAGAGTGAGACAAATTGCCACATCCATACTGGTACACACACTCACATGCCAACTCCTGCAAAGATCACAAACAGAAGACCAAAACAACCAGCTGGGAGAACATAGACAGAAACAATAGCAACAAAACAAAGGGCTGGGCCATTACTGTGACAGTTATGTTTTGTAATAAGCTGCCAGGCTCTGAAAAGGATCACATTTTTGTTCTTCATCAAAATCTGTTTTATGTTGGAGTATCAAATTCAATGATCCTATAATAAGCCAGGCACATCTAACCCTCTAAATATGTAGTCTTATTGAAAACACGGTTTTATTTATTTCAGGCAGAGGTATAGGAAACAGGCATCTCATTTCTGATTAGCAATCCCTGAATGTGTCAGCTAAAATGATAAATGTCCTTGGCATATTTCTGCAGCTGACTCATAGCAAAAATACATCTGCTCGAAAGGCTCCTTATACGGCCGACAACTACAATGATCCTGCGTTTAAGAACTGCATGTCCTGGGCAAAATGTCAGCAGAGTCTCTCAACTTGATACTTGGAGAAAACATAACAAATATGTTAAAATATTGACTTCATGTTAAAATATGATGTTTTTTCTTATAAATTACAGTTTGCAGACATACCAGAAGTGAAATGTGAAAGTATTGATGTTTATAGGTAAAAACATTCAACACCTGAAGGCTCTGATCCAAAGTTTACTGAGGTTCAAAACTGATCCCAAAATCTGATTTTAAATATCCGGTAGATAATGGATCTTTCCAGATGTTTAAATGTACCATTTTTCCCCTAAGTAAATTTAATCATTTAGAATTTTAAAATATACTCTTGGTTGGGTTTCTAAAATCATCTAGGCTTTTTTTTTTTTTACAAACCTAAAACTGTTTTATCTGTGTTAATAGAATTGTATAATTTAAAAAGTTAAATTCAACCGGAAAGAGTGAGACAAATTGCCACATTTGAAAAGTGTACAGTGAAGTAAAAGTGAGAAAATAAAAGTGTTTATCAGTGTGATTTTTTTTTCTTTTTCTGCAGTTTAGAAAGTCTAAACCTTTGTATTCATTGGCAGGTGTTCATAAGCAGATTGTCATAAGTCAAGACTTTCAAAGCTTATTTGATCTTTAATATGTTCATCCAGTAGAACTGAATAAATAAAAAATCACATTTATTCCCATTTACAAAAAGACAAAAGTAAAAACAGACTGAAAACCAAAGGTTCAACATCCTCGTTGGATACATACAGACCCACCCTTTAATAAACAGACAAGACTCTTTTGATTCATCTTCATGTTCTAGTTTTCTTGTCTGGGGGTCTGTTGACATATCACATGTTGACATAATTCACTTTGACAAAAATACAGTTTCAGTTGAAGAAAAGGAACCCCAGAGAATGATGCTGCCACCACCAAATTTCACTGTGGCCTAAATTTGAACTTTTTCTCACTATAATACACATCAATACTAAGGTTTTAGAAGATCTTCATTCTATATATTTTTTATTTTGGCATGTAGATTATTACCGCATGTAGAAATGCAACACAAGGCCTGTTTAGAAATCCTCGCTGTTCCTTCAGTGTCATCATCGGCCTCTTTGGAGCCTCCTGTTGGACTCTTCCACCAGTTTCTAGTATCCAAGATAAATAAACTTTATACAACGTGCAATGTAGATGATAAACAAGAGGATTCTTTTCTTAAAATTCTCTAAAAAATATTCAGGCACTGCAAATTTCACTGTACCAGAGATAATCTACGTTTACATAAGTTCTATGAGAGGAAATCACACCCATCAAAGGAAGGTGCATTATGTTGATCTGCCAGCTTGATGGCCTGTAAAGATAGAAATTGCTGAAGGATAAATGTCTCCTCAGAGGTGTTTGTTCCTGAGCCAGTGTAAGTAAAACAGTTTGCTTCAGGCAGGATCGGTTTAAGAAGAAACAATGCACTTGGCAGACACTTGAATATGACTAGAAAAGGAGCGGCAATTGCTTTTCTCCCGACACCATAATTCTGGTGTCAGAAAAAAGCAGTTTTGTTGCTTTTCTCAAGCATGTAATGAGGGAATGTTCAACTTTTTTCTTGCTTATTAAGGAATATTAACATGAGTTAGGATATGTTTAGGTGACACATGAGGCATAAACATGTGGGGCATGACATTGATTTAAGGTTGCTGCACAGAAGATGATTCACCCAGGCGTCATACTCCAGCTTAGAAACCCACCAGGACTCCTCTGCTTTAAATGTCATCACTTTACAATTTTACTGGCTAAGACTGAATTATGTAAGAATGTGTGTTTAGTGAATAAATATCCTTCTTAGCAGTGATCATCTATGTGAGCAGAAACAACACGGAACGATACCTAAACAAACTCCACCGACATAAAACCACAAAAATGATCATCACATTGCACCCTAAAGAGTTCATCTCAGAGGAGTGACACAAGAAATGGCACAATGAGCTCAAGTCCCTTTGGACTAGTTCAGTTTCAGCAACTCAGCGGAAATCCCGTCCTTATAAAACCCAACTCCAGCGAGGAGCGGCTCAGTGAATGTGGCCTGAACTCTGTGGAGGAGAGTCATGGTTCCAGAGACGCTGTAGAACGACATAGTACCTGCTCTGTGGTCCAGGTACACTCCTACTCTGGAGGAAACGGGACCTGAAACCGGAGTTTTTATTCTGTTGTGCCAAAACGTGTAACCGTTTCTATCGCAATACAAAGACCAAGATTTGTAGTTAGATCGAAACTCACAATCATCTAAGTTCCCTGCTCTGCTGATTGACTTGTATGAAGCTGCAATGTCAACTCGCCTCCCTTTCCACTCCACCTCCCAGTAGCAGCGTCCCGTCAAACTCTCTCTGCTCAAGATCTGGAGCCAGCTGGTGAATCGGTCTGGATGATCAGAGTAAAGCTGCTTTTGTTTCAGTACTGTTGCTTTTCTGTTCCCATCAGATAATAACAAATGGCTATTTGCTGTATTTGGATTCAGAGTGATTTCTTGCGAATACTTCAAGAATCCAGCTCTCGTCTTCGGTTCTGGTTCTGACAGTAAAACATCCACTTCAGCGACTGCATCTGAGATGTCTGACCATGTGTCTCTCAGGATGTTCTGTAGTTTATCTCTGAGCTCTGACACAGCTGTTGTCACATCCTCAAAGTACCTCAGAGGACGTATTTTGATGCTGGATGAGTGTGTCGCATCACTGGGTATTGACAGTGAGGAAAAGTTGAGTAAAAACCGGTTGTGATCTGAGTTTGAGAGCTTCTCCAGCTCAGCATCTTTCTTCTTCAGCTCAGTGATCTCACGCTCCAGCTTCTCCTGAAGCTCTCTGACTCGACTCACTTCGCTTTCCTGTTGGGATCTGATTTGCTGTTGCACGTCAGTGCTTCTTTTCCCGGTGAGACGGATCAGCTCGGTGAAGATCTTCTCACTGTCCTCCGCTGCTTTATCAGCTGAAGCATTGATGGCCTCCACCTCCTGCCAAAGCAGCTTCATTTCCTTCTCCCGATCCCAGATTCCCTTCTGGATTTGCTGCCGTCTCACCAGGAGCTTCTTCTGCTTCCTAGACATTTCTGCTGCACCGGATTCTTTTTTATGGTCTTTATTTTCATCTGTCAAACAGAGAAAGCAGGCATCCTGCTGATCAGGGTGATCAGAGTCACCATGATGAGGACAGATGTTCTCCTGGAGCTTCTTGGAAGGGTCCACCAACTTATGCTTCTGTAAAGGTGGAGCGTCATAGTGAGGTTGGAGGTGATACTCGCAGTAAGATGCAGGACAGGTTAAACAAAACCTAACAGCCTTCAACTTCCTTTGAGTGCAAACATCACAAGCCACATCTCCTGGTCCGGCATAGCAGTGGTCATCCGGATCAGCTCGGACTCCAGTTCTCTTGAGATCCTCCACTAAATCGGCTAAGATTGTGCTTTTCTTCAAAACAGGCTTCTTTTTGAAAGCCTCCCTGCACTGGGGGCAGCTGTAGATTTTCTTGTGATCCTCTTCATCCCAGTGGGTTCTAATGCAGCTCATACAGTAGCTGTGTCCGCAGGGTATGGTCACCGGATCCTTCAGCAGATCCAAACAGATGGAACAAGAATATTTGTCCTCGTCGAGTTGAAGTCCTTTCTGTGCCATTGTCCCGTCTCAGTAACAAGGACTAAGTTTTGACTTCCTATGAGCAAGAATTGGTTTGGACTCTGATCTATAAAGCTTGTTGCTGCAGTTAATCTCAGCGGTTACACCCATCATTCTGCTTGTAGCTCTGAATAGGAGGGAACAAAGAGTGACGCACACATGTCTGGGCTGGTTTTGTTCAACCAGGAAAGGGAATGAGGAGGTGGCAAACCAAGCCTTTTGTTTAACCCTCTTGTCATTTTTAAACTTTGTAAATGTTTTGTCAGTTTGACGTGGTAAATTCTTTCGACTGACTACTGAACAGAAACATTCCAGCTTCTATAAAAATAATGAAAGGCTTTATTTGATGTTAGCTTTAAGGTCAGTAACACTCCAGCTGAGTTGCATAAGTTTGGAGGTCAGAGGGCTTTAACTTGCAGACCACAGTCAGGCAGGATCCAATTTGAAAACTGGCCAACTGCAATTTAATTGAGCACTTCTATTTAAAGATACACAGGCACTAACATAATGCCACAGATTCATAAATATGACTTCCTGTTAGGCTTTATTTTTTCTATCATGTTGTATAGAAAAAAAATAAATGTAGATAGTAAATACTACAGAATCTCATTTTGACAAACCCAAACTACTCCTCTCATAAATTGCTACTTGCTTGCAACTAACGTTATATTTTTCACTATAAAGCTGCATCTGTAGAACTAAACAGAAAGATGGAAAAAAATAATGTAGCAGTTCAAGCTAAAGCAAAGGAAGGTGTGACATTTACCAAAACACTCAATCCCACACCAGTTATTGTCAAGTAAATTTTCTTAAACTTTTATTTTTACTCACAAATGAACCAGTGTAGAAAGGTTTATGTATTTTTCAAAAAGTTGCACAATATACAATGTTGGTCACAGTTTTTTTTTATTATTATTCTCATCGTGAGCATGAATGTCATCAACTTTGATTACAAACAAACATGATGCAAACGTTTGAGTTTATTGAAGATTTTGGTTGCAGAGAAACCAGACAGTTTTATAAAATTATCAATGTCATATAATTCTAGAGTAATATTTGTTCCCACTTCTTAACAGACATGGTAAAGCTAATTTAAATTGGGTTTATTTTCTGCCCTATCATCTGCATTTTTAAAAGATTGAAGGTTGGGGCTATTCAAAAACTTAATGGTACCTTAGTCCTTCCAATCTGAAGCACCTGCTGTGACATGTCTCGTGATCATGCTTCTGGTATGTCACAAACTTGTAATCTTCTAGTTGTTGGTTCCAGGGAGACGGCCCTCCTTCTTCTTTGCTGTCTCTACCAAAACTGCTGGCAAGAAAACAAACCCTCACAATGATGCCGATGCATTAATTTTCTAATAGCTGGAGAAGTGTTTTTAGGTTTAAGAGCATCGTTTTGACTCTTGTAAACATAGTTGTCATTATTTCCAGCTCAATCTTTACAGTATCATACAATGCAAAGTTTTCTCATACAACTTGCATTTTATGAGACAGTTTATATTATATATAAATATAATATTATATATTTATGTGTATATATAAGGTCTTTTTGGTAAGAAAAAGAAAAGAATGAATAAATAAACTGAAAAATACACTTTGCTGAATTCCTAGTAATAGAAATGTGAATATGGTGTTGACAGAACAGAACGAGTAATATTTCCATTTCCATTTCTGCTCTCCACCAATATAATGTCAGCCTATGCTTTGCTTTTATACTCATGGCACAAAAGAGCCATTGAGGCTCGTTCATAGCGGAACTTTGTATGTCATTTTAACCACTGCACATGTTTTCAATCAGAAAAAAATTGAATGATTCATAAACGATCAAGGGCGGTCAGCGTCAGGGCCAGCTGTTCGGTTTGCCTCTGAGATCTGCGGTATTCTATTAGCTTTGTGTCGCTGCATCCTTCCCTTTTTTTCTCTCTATGTCTGCTCAAACATCCTGGCACTGACCTTCAGGGTTCAGTTTTTAAATGTTTTAATGTGTTGTTGGTGTCTTCTGTATATAAAACATTAACTTCAGGAGTTAGAAAAACATTGGATTCCACTTCAGGAATGTGCAAAAGGTGTTTTGTTTCTGCTGTGTGCAGTCGGAAAAGCGGCTCTTCGCTGATGGCTGAATTAAAAACACTGACCTTAAAACAGAGTAGGGGAGTTGTCAGGTTGGCTTAGTACCTGTTAAACAACTGTGAAACTCAACATGTAGTTGGGAAAGGGTGTTTTTCCATTGAGCAAGGTGACAGAAAAGATATATTTTGGAAAAGGTCACATCAGCTACATCAGTACCTCCCGAGGCCATGCCAGAGGGGGGCACATCAACCTGCTCACAGTAAATTCAATTTTTTATTTTTTTTTCCACACATCCAAGCTTATACAACTCAGTGGGCAGGTGTGGGTATTTTCCTCTGTTCGGGTGCAAGTGTTTGCATCTGCTTTGGTATCTGACATTCTCAGACAGCTGGCATGCCTCAGTTTAAGAGATGGCTTGACCGCTGAACCATACTCTGTCGTGTGCAGTTCCACTCACAAACTCACACAAAAACACTTTTAGCACTTCACTGGGCCTTGGTACTGAGGCTACCAAGGCCCAGCACTGTCTGTATGGAAACTAATTATTAACTCAAGTCTGTAAATCACACACGGATAACACTGGATGTTTGGATAATGAGTTTTAAAAGGCACTTTTGAAGTATTCTGTTAAATATCTAACTTTATTTTATGATTTAAGCTGTTCTCTGTGTTCTTTCAGTGTGTGCTCCATTGAACATGTGACACAAAACGGTTGTTTTTCCTTATAACAGAACTAATTGATTCAGTGGGTTATTTTACATTTTGTTATGCTACAGCTATAGATATTGAAAAGGAGACACTAAGTAGGACATAATTGTAAAGCAGGAAGAAAATGATTCATACCTTTCAAGATTTTTTTCAAAGAAAATACTTTAGCAAGATATAAGCAAATCATGCTTATATCTTGCTAAAGTATTTGAGGCACTTATACCTCTATCAGCTTTTTTTTCATTCTTTGCCCAATATTGCTCCAATTCAGTCAAATTAAATGGAGAACATCAGTGAACAGACATTTTTGACACAAGAATATGCTATCATTTAAACCATCACCACAATGTTTGTCCATCATTGTGGTGATGGACAAACATGCAAATATCCGGGTTGACCGATTTGTTTTGGCTGTTCAGGATGATGAAAAGGTAAAAAGTAATACAGAAAGTATTCGTGTTCCACCCGCGGAGCGAGTTGGTCTGGATTCCTGTTGCAAATCAGCGTGCCACTGAGTTCCCACAGGCAGACTGCTTTGTCCCTGACCTGTCTAGTGTGTCGCTTGGTCTTTATGAAACCGTTTGCTCACTAAAGTTGTTAAAGGAACAGCTTTAGTTACTCTGCTTTCAACTTAAGGGTCTTTTTAAAACAGTTGGTGGCACTCGGTTTTATTTAGAGGTAACTGAGAAGGAGGGATTGCAATGAAAATACACACAACACTTTTCAGATTTTTGTTTGTAAAAGCAAACAAAAACAATGAAGCAATGTCTCTTTCACGTCACCATTATATACTATGTCGTAATGTTTCTTTCCTGCTGTAACACACATGATTCTGAACAAAAAAACTACTTAACTACTCTGGTAACATGAAAGATGAAGTTTCATGTATTCAATAAGAACATGTTCTATGGCTAGCCATATGTTTGTGCATAATGCTGTGCCACATGTACAGCTGTGCTCACGAATCTTATGTACAAATACATGTGTAGATTATTTGTGTCATGCAATAATAAAATTTCAATTTTAGGAAACCCTGCACTGAGTACAGTGAGAATTTCCTCAAGACTATGGCATCACTGGCACCATCATTTATTTGTGACTAAGTGAATAATATAATATTATGCGTCATGTTTATTTTCATCTTGTATTTTTTTTTTACTACTTATTTTGTTTCTTTTATCTTTTTCCTATGACACTTTTTTTATGTCTGTAGAAAGTGTTGAAATGATCATTTCATGAATATGCAAAATACTTATACTCATTTAATATTTCCAAAGATATTTGAAAGTTCAGTGTGCTGGTATGTTTATTGACTTTATGGTTATTCTTAAGATATATAGTAGAAGGTTTAGAATAATCCTAAAAGTCCACCTTTAGGGAATCTTTAGTTTGAGGTTTATTTCATACTAATATCTATATATATATATATATATATATATATATATATATATATATATATATATATATATATATATATATATATATATATATATATATATATATATATATATATATATCTTTTATTGTGTCCTGTTTCTTTCCACATTGTTCCTGTTTGTCTCTCGTATTTTTTCACCCTTTTTTTCTTCCTCCTTTTTTTTTTTTTTTTTTTAGATTTCTGGCCAACACGTCATTTGAGGGCCAAAGTGGTTTTATATCCAAAGAAAGCCAAAGTCAGAATATCATCTCAGAGGCCCATCACTACATCTGGTCTCTCCAGCTGGACCCTCTAGGCCAGCCAACCTGGACCCGTCTGGGACGCTGGCGCAGAGGGAGTATTCTAATGGACCAGGGGGCTTGGCCAAGCCATCAAGGGCCTGGTAGCGGAGGAGACTGGCGCCGATCTGCGCGGTTGCACATGCGAGTGGTGACGCTGGTGGAGCATCCCTTTGTGTTTACCCGTGAGGTGGATGGAGACGGGATGTGTCCAGCGGGCCAGCTGTGCTTGGACCCGCTTACCAATGAGACCTCGGTTTTGAAAAGACTTTTCCAGAAACTTGCAGGCCATAATGGCTCTGTTCCTACAGAACAGAAGAAATGTTGCTATGGCTACTGCATTGACCTGCTGGAAAAGCTGGCGGAGGATATTGGCTTTTCTTTTGACCTGTATATCGTTGGTGACGGGAAGTACGGAGGGTACAAGAATGGCCGTTGGACGGGACTGGTAGGCGATCTACTAAGTGGTGCTGCCCACCTGGCAGTGACATCATTCAGCATTAA